TTCTCCGCAGAGCATCAAGAGGTGGCAGAAATCAGCCATCAGGAACGAGGGAGCGGCCTCCCGGACGTCTACATTTAATGCCTTTGCTCTTGTAGGTTTCTATCAAGTAAGTCACTGTGTGGATTTCAACCACTGGATAAATAAAATAATCCCTAGACGCAGAGACCCACCCCCCGCCCCGAGGAAGAGCCCAGACCTTCCTGTCTTCTTGGAAATTTGTTCTTCTTTCTGTGGTTCCTCTGCCTTCACCCTGAGAAAACCCTTTCAGCTCCCTGCCTGCTTCAAAATGAAGAAAAATGCCTCCAAGGGCCAGCTAGTTCAGAAAGGCGGAGGGAGCAGGGCCCAGACAGCAACTCTCGGGCCAGCGGAGGACTGACCCCCTCTCCCCTCGGACCTTGGACAACTGTGTCTGGAGAAAGTCGCTCACCTGGTCCAAGTCAGGGTATCTTAACAGGGGTCTGGTGACGTTTGGAGATAGATAATGCTTTGGTGCGGGGCGGGGAAGGGCTGTTCTGTGTCTGTGGGTTGTTGAGAGGCCTCCCTGGGCTCCACCCGCGAGATGCCAGGAGCACCCGACCCCACCATAATGATCCAAAATGTTCCCAGACAAGAGTAACTATCCACTGGGGCCCAGGGTCTCCTCCAGCTGAGAACCCTGTTCTGCACACGAGAGTACACGCACACGCATGACTCCAGACACATCAGTCCATCCAAGGTCAAGGGTGCAAAACCCTGCAGGATCACAGGGACTCCAGGGCCATCGCTGTTGCCCTCTGGTACCCAGAGGCTAGGGAAGGGGCTCCTTACAGCCACAGGACACAGGAAAACCCTCTCCACCAGAGGGTGCCACTCAGAGGGCCCAGACGCTCCCAAAGTCGGGAGCTTTCAGTTCGTAGAGGCTGGAAAATAGGGCCTCGGGGAGGCAGGGCCGGTGGAGACGCGGGATGGAGTGCGCTGGGGGGCTGGAGGGGCAGGACTGGTGTCCACCACACCTGGGCTCTGCTTCAAGGCTCAGAGGCGTGTGGGGGTGACCCTGCCCGGGTGGGTGCCCCTGGGCCACTGCACACACTCCTGAGAGAATCAGGCACAGGTGTCCTGGCCCAGCATGGACCTAAAGCAGGGAGGGCGTGGGCCTCTTCACCGGCCACAAGAGTCCAGTGTCAGCCCGGACAGTCAAGTGCAAATGTCATTAGTCACCACTCAGCAAGTGTTTATTGAGCCCACCCTCTGGGTCCCCGCTACATAAGGTGTCACCCATCCCATCCGGTAAGTCCCCCTTACAGAGAGTGTCACTCACCCCATCCTGTGGGTTCTCCTACCTACATGTCGCCCGAGCCCCCAGCAGGTGCCTGTTAGAGAGGAAGACTCTCGGGCCCCGCCCCAGAACCTCTGGACCTGAGTCTACACTTGGCAAGTTCCCAGGTGATGTCCACAGACGTATAGTTTGAGAAGCCACGATGGAGTGACCTGGGCAAGGGAAACCCCTTCCTTCCGCAAGCTCATGCTCTATCCTGAGGCAGGATGTATGGACCCTAGATCCCGGAGCTGAGTGCATGTCTATACCCGCAAGCCTGTTCTGGTAGGACCTTCCACTGAGCTCAGTTTCCTGTCTGTGAGGCAGGGATGACACCTGCCCTCTCTGCCTCAGAGGACTGTCCTGAAGATCACAAATCAGGAAGCACTACCCCAACGCCCCGTGCTGATTCATGCCCCGCACTCTGATGCCTCAGCAGTGATTCAGCAGAGGGATGGGGCGCTCTCAGGACCGAATCGCACATTGACACAGACGCAGGGACTTGCAGGAAGTGACCACGGGTCCTCTCTCAGCTCCAACCTGGCCTGCAGGGAGCTCCCACCGACACTCATCCACCCTCTGACTCTGGAGGGTCTAGGAAGGTCAGATCTCGGTGTTCCCGGGGCTTCCTGACACAGAGCAAGTCGATGCAGTCACCACGGCCAGGTTGGCAAGGGGCCCGACTGCTGCAACATCACTCTGGTTTAGGGTAGAGGGGAACGGACTTTCTGTCATCTTGCAGAGCTGACCCATGAGAGCAGCTGGACACTGAGGGTGCCAAGAAAATTAGCATGTGTTTTTGAGGAATCCTTTTCCTGCATAATAATGCATAAAAGGCCTTTGCTATGGACTCGATGTTTTCCTACTTTTGAAAACTATTTAATCCTCTTAGGACGTATCAGGCAGGGACTCCTGTCCCCACATCACCAATAAGGAAACTGGGACCTCAGGATCTGAACCCAGGTTGGTTTCCTTCCAAAGCCCATGACCTCACCGCAAGCTCAACCCCTTGGGGCGCCTAGAAACTTCCCATCTTCCTCGTGCGGCGGAACAATGTGGCGCCCTCCAGTTGCGAGACCAGGCTGTCCCGCCCCGCTGACGTGCACCATGCTCGTCCTGAGCTTCTCCAGAAAAATGCTGTCTTCTGGCAGGAAAAGATAAAAACGGCTGATATTCATGAGTCACCGTGCTCGCTATAATTAACGGTGATGCAAGAGCCAGATGCAGTCCAGAGTGGCCCCTCGACCTGACTTTTCGGCCACCCGAACTGGGCTGCACATCCCGCAGCAAAGTATCCGTGGCCGAGCTTCCGTCTGCTCGGGTTGAATTTGAAATAAAGAAATGCCACCCAGGATGCATGCCAGCTCTGAGATCACAGCCCTGAGAGGCAGTCTCAAAGGAATCTCGTTGTTTTCAGTTGAAAACCCACGTGGCCGGGCGCCATGGTGCATCCCTGTAACCTCAGCACTTTGGGAGGCCGAGGTGGGAGGATCGCTTGAAGCCAGGAGTTTGAGATCACCCTGAGCAACATAGTGAAGACCCTGTCTACCGTGGCAACGTAGCGAGACCCTGTCTCTATGCAAAAAATAATCAAAAATTTAAGAATAAATATATAAATTATAGAAAACCCACATGCCACCATCAGGAAGAGTGATGCTGGTTTATACGTGATCTTTGCTTCCACACTTGGCTGTCCTGGACAATCTATGCCGTTTTCAACCTGCTGAGCTGACTCCCAGAAGCTACAGTTGTGATTTCAACTGTATCAGGCGCTCAGCCTATGCCCTCCCAGTGTCGTGCCTGTGAACTTCTCAAAAAGACAGTGGTCACGGGCGTGTCTATTCCCTTCTGCTGATCTGGAATAAGAAGTGATGCAAACCTAACCTGATTAAAATGATCCTGACCAGGTGTGGTGGCTCACGCCTGTAATCCCAGCACTTTGGGAGGCCAAGGCAGGAGGACTGCATGAACTCGGGAGTTGGAGACCAGCCTAGTAACATGGTGAGACCCTGTCTCTACAAAAAAGGAAAATCAAAAAATTAGCCAGGCGTGGTGGTGTGCATCTGTAGTCCCCGCTACTCAAGAGGCTGAGGCAGAAGGATCGCTTAAGTCCAGAAGGTCGAGGCTGCGGTCGTGATCGTGCCATTGCACTCCACTCTGGACGGCAGCGTTGAGACTCCAAATCAAAAAACAAAAGACAAACCTTAAAACAGAATTCCCACCACACCCATTCGCTCACCCCACCCAACAGAGCATGAGTGCAACCACCTGATAATCAAGGTGGGGACAATACCCTGATGCTCGTGGGACAGACCATCCCTCCCAAGGCTCAACAGGACCTCACAAGGCTCACCAGCAGCCATCAGCGCTGGTGGCATCCTCTTACCTGCTTGGAAGAGGCTCAACTGGTCTTGAGATCTGGACACAAAACAGACGATGGAATCTCCCACTGTCGTTCAAAGAGACTTTAATGGAGAGCCAAGTGAAAAATGCAGGCTACATCTTAGTGTTATCATCAAACACCCAACAGCAACGGGCCTAACATGTATACATATCCTAACTTTAGTGGTCAAGGAGCAGATCATTACCAGATAGATATATTTACACAATCATTTCGAGCAACAGTAAATAAGGAACTCCCTCCCTTAAAAACAAAACACACACACACACACGCGCACCCAACCACCTGGAAACAATGGGTTTTCTGGCACTAGCAAGGCTCATTTTTTGCGCATGTACGTGTCGACCCAAAGTCACTTAAGTTACTCAAGAACATTCTCAGCAGGGGCAAGCCTGGGCCGGCCTCTATTTCCTTCGAGAGTCACTTTAATTTTTACAACTCGAAGCAAGTCACGTGACCAGTGTGACTTGCGTACACCAAGGACACCCCAGATGATGAGAACGAATCCCACTTCCTTCGTGTGAGCAGACATGCACATCTCCGAAGACACCCATGATGACCCCCCAAGAAAGTCACACACACACACACACACACACACACACACACACACACACACACACCCCTCAGATCTGCAGACACAGTTTCTTAAGAGCACTGTGCGAATGTTAGCACAGAACTAACTGAATGGTAAGGTGATTTCAGCTCTCTACACAGAGGTACTGGTTAGTCCTGATTCTTTTTCAGCCGCTTAGATGCAGAGCTCTGAAGTTGCCTGGGGGCACCACATCCTGCCTCCCAGGTTAGGGCCCCCCCCCAGTGGAACGTCAGACGCTCCGCGGCCCCACGCCTCTCGCGCTGATTTATTTCTTGCTGTTAGTCAATGGAAACCATGACCAAGTTTACATTAGCAGACACACACACATGCCTTGGCCCATAAATATTCCCCGATGGGAAATGCAGTGTCTCTAATCCCAGGGAAAACGGGCGGAAAAGAAGATGGGGGTGGGGTGGGGGCACGACCAGCAGTGGCTCTTCTCGCAGCAGAAACTCCAGACCACGTGGTGATGGGCTGTTGGCCGACTGGTCACCGGGAGCCACGTCTCTAGGCCTGGGAGCCGACTCCAGGTGGGCAGGGCAGGGACCGCTCCCCCAGGCCCACCTGGCAAGATCCAGGCATCGTGTCTGGGGCATCCGTCGAGGATCGGTCGCAGCTTCCTTCTCAGAGAGGCGGGTGAGGAGGAATGTGGCCAGCTTGAAAGAGCTCATGTGCCATCCTGCCTGGGTCCGGGCACCGTCCCTGGGGGTGGGGGACCCCTCACAGCGCCAGCTGGAGTTTGGTCATGTTTCTCTGGTGCATATTGTGGTGGCGGACGAGCTCATCCGAGCGGGCAAACTTTTTCTGGCAGCTGGGCCAGCGGCAGCTGAAGGGCTTCTCACCTGTGGACACAACAGCCCATCAGAGACGCCTGCAGCACAGAGGCCGGGCCACGTTCACCCAGCAGAGGCCTGAGCTGCGTCGTCCCACGTCACTCCCCGGCTTCCTTCCCGCGATCCTGCCTTAAGCTCACGGGCCAGGCTCACGTCACACGCAGCCTGGACGTGTCACACCTCGGGGGCTCTAAGAATCGAAATATCGTCCAAGTTATAAACCAGTCTCAGGTCAGAGGACGTGAAACGTGGGAGGGAAGGAAGGAGGCTGGCAGTGGAAACGTCTGGGCTGATCATATGTAATTAAGAGGAACAAATGTAGATTCCAACCTCCCCTGAGAGAATGTATGGACCCACGGGTTTTCCGCCTTTGCTGTCTGCGGAGGGGACCGAGCTCCGCGGGATTGTCCAGCCCAGTTCAGGTCCCTGGACCTCATCGATTCAGCGCCTTTCAGCAGGGGCGCTGTGGCCGCAGTTCTAACTCCCCTGTCTGCACAGATATTCTGGGTGGGCTGGACAGTTTAAGAGAAATCACAGATGCCTGTGTGCATGTCATCTGTCTCTTTCATCTTTACCTGTTCCTGACAACATAACCCTTGTCATATGGAAGATTCTAGTGGAGGCCTGGTTCTGAGATTTCTAACAAGCTTACTGAAAGACCAAGGTCTCTTCACCTTAGGAGCCCTCGGAAATTCTTTGGCTTTTTTTGTGTTTTTCTTTGCTCTTTTTGTAGAGACAGGGTCTCGCTATGTTGCCCAGGCTGGTCTCAAACCCTTGGGCTCAAGCAATCCTCCCGCCTCGGCCTCCCAAAGCGCTGGGATGACAGGTGTGAGCCACCACACCTGGCCACACTCAAGCCTCATTCCCATCGGGAACGATAATGCACATGTATTCAGTGCTTCCAATATGCTCAGCCTGGTGCTGGACATCGAATGATGCACGCACAGACCTCAAGTCCTCCTCACCTCCGTCCCTAAGGGAGCGTGACTGTCCCCCCCCTACAGACGAGTGTGACGTCTGCTGGGGAGACTCAGGCAGGATGCAAACCCAGTTCTGTCCGATTCCTAAGCCGGTGCCCTTCCCTCCACCACAGCCTCCTGGGCCTGGCCACTGCGGAGATGCAGGGGCAGCTTTATCTTGAGGGCAAATGCCACAAGAGCCAACCCTGTGCCCCCGAGGGGCCTTCTCAGGATGTTGCTTCCCACTCCGCTTTCTCTGAGATCTACTGGCCAGACAAGCACTGACAGATGTCCCACGAGGGTCGGCGTCCCAGGATCAGACTGGAGGCCCATCAAATGTCGCATCCAACAGTCTGCTGGTGGCACAAGTCCCTTGACGCATGGTCGGGGGTGGGGTGTGCAAGGGACTCTTGGCCACCAAATTGTGAGCTCGGGACTAAGTCTAAGAAGCACCGGAAGCTTCTTAGACTTGGGGAAAGGGGGGAATGCCCAGGGACTGGTGTCATCACACATCCCCTCACCTCCCACTTGCTGTTTCTTACCCTTCCTAGATGGTTCCACTCACCCCGCCTCAGTCGTGCCGCCCGTTTGGCCCGACGGACACGCCCCACCCGCTCTCTGGCCTCCTTCACTCCTCTCAGGCTCTCAAGGGCACCCAGCTTCACCGGCTCTGGCTCTCGCTGACTCTCCTCCCCAGCCCGCTGGATAAATCATGCCCCTTGCCCGGTAGAGAAGGCAGGGGACAGGTGGGCCGGAGCAGACAGAACTGGGTTTACGACCCAATAGGCTGACTTCAGACAAGTCACTGAGTTGCTACGTGCCTCAGTCTCCTATCTGTAAAACAGGGGGACTCTTTCCACAAGGACAAAGTGAGATAAAACACTTGCCTTCCTCTCAAAGGGGGAAAGTCTACGGCCATGGCGGTGTTGTTTTCATTACGAACAGCCTATCCTCATGGAAAAGCAAACACCATCAGCAGCCATGAGCGGGGCCCTACACCCCTCTCTACAGAGCACGAGGGAAATGCCACCTGCATGCTGGCCCTGGCCTGGCAGAAGCCAAGACTGCTCCTGGGTGGACACCCAGCGAGCAGGGACTCGGCGCCCTGAAACGTGAGACATTGCTGGAACTCCTGCTGCTTTTCTGGAGGGCTGATCCTCCTAGCAGAGTGACCACAGCGTGGTGGGACCAACCGGAAGCCTTGGGAACCTGTCCATCCCTCCACTCCATTCCACGGTGCTCCCCATATTCCTCCCCCTCTGAGTCCTCCTGTTCTTTACAAAATGGGATCACATATCGTTTGGGGAGAACCACGCCCCCTCCTTCCTCCCAACTGAGTCTAAACCTCAGCGCTTTTACTCTAGTTCTTGCCAGTCTCTCTCATCGCAACAACGTAGTTTTAAAAAATAATGAAAAATAAATGTGAAGAAAAGTTTACGCACTTGTTTTACCTGTATGAGTCCTGGTGTGGGTCTTCAGGTGGTCGGACCGGGAGAACTTTCGCTGACAAGTTTTACACTGGAAGGGTTTCACACCTAGACGGACAGAGAAGGTCTAGCCCCAGCCCTAACACGCGGGCACAGCAGGGCCCACGAGGCTGGCTCCTGGCGGCGGGGGGGCCCGGTGTCTGCGGCCACGCCTGCGACATCTGCCTTGCCCACAGGCTTCCCCAGGACCCCTGGCCCGGTGGAGACCACCTGATTCTGCACAGTATCCTAAAAGGACCCACTTCTGTCTTGGGAACCACTGCTCCTTAACCACAAAGGTCCAGCTTCTCACCAGCTGGAAGGTCTCAGCCGAGCCAAGGCGGAAACAGGCGTCACACCCAGCAGTGGGATCCCACATTCCACCACCCTCGCTCTCTGCGAGGCTCAGTGCACACTCAGCCCAGGACTAGCGGGTCCCACTGCGCTGTGGTTTGCAGGACAGACGTGGGCCGTTTCCTTTCTTTCCTTTATTTAAGAGAAGGGAAATCTCCAGAGACTAAGGGGAAGAACTCTTGGAAAAATGAAACACCCAGCTGGGCCTCTCCTGTTCCACCACAGAGAGGATCAAGAGATGTGCCCATGCCCACAGAACACCGCTGCCAGCAGGGGAAGCAGACCCACAGACCTGTGTGTCTCCTCTGGTGCCTTTTGAGCTGGTCTGAACGAGAAAACCGCCGCTCACAGTCCTTGAAGTCACACTGGTATGGCTTCTCACCTTGGGAAAGACAAATGCTCCGTTTGCAAACGGCGCTGGAAATGGGGACCTCATTTAAAGCAGCCCCCTAACCAGGACCAAGGGTCTCCCAAAACGTCCGGGCGCTTGGTGGGGCTGGCCAGGGGAGGTGTTTCTAGCGAGCTAGAAACAGGTGAGTGCAGGTGCCGAGGCTGACTCCAGAGCCAGCGAAGACTGGCTGCCCCATTGTGAAAGGGACCCAGTGACGGCCTGTGTCAAAGGGTCCGTGAACAAATTAGAGCAGGCCACCGTGCAAAGGCTCAGCCCGGCACCCAGTGCAGAGGGAGGGCTCACAAGACATTAGCAGAGAATATTCAGGCAAGTAAAAACTCAAACTAGGCTGAGTCTGAGGCAGAATTCTGGGGTGGGTGTGCCCTGAGGCCGGCACGGGAAAGAAGCAATTTAAGTTTTATGGCCCCAAGAATTGGCATTCTCTGCTACTGGCTTCTCATTATTACTATTATTTTTTCACTTGGGGGCTCACTCTGTAGCCCAGGCTGGATGGAGTTCAGTGGCACAATCACAGCAATCATGGCTCACGGAAGCCTCGACCTCCTGGGCTCAGGTGATCCTCCCAACCTCAGCCTCCCGAGTAGCTGCGACTACAGGCATGCGCCGCCATGCCTGGTTAATTTTTTAATTTTTTGTAGAGACAGGGTTTCACTATGTTGCACAGGCTGGTCTTGAAACCCTGGGCTCAAGTGATCCTCCTGCCTCAGTCTCCCAAAGTGCTGGGATGACAGGCGTGAGCCGCCGCACCTGGCTCATTCTTGTTGAGCAGAAACAACGCCATGATTGTGAGGCACTCAAGCTAAACCAGAAGCCAATGCACTTAGGAAGCTTCTGGAGTCCGTTAACCAAGAGCTGTCAGCAGTGGGGCAGCCTTCTGCCTCAGAGAAGCCCCACCCTCGCCAGAGGAAGTCCAGCCAAATGCTGGGAGGAGTGATCCACCATGGGCCTCCCTGCCTCCCGGGGAAAAGTGAGTCACTGGCATTCTAGGATGGAGAGTGGCCACCCCCCACCACCATCCTCCTGCTGCAGGGCGGCCTCGGTCACCCCTCTAGCCTACACCCCTGCTCCCCTGTAAATGTGCCCTCCCTCTGCACCAAGGTTCGCCAATCCCGACATCCTCTCTGCTCTGTGCTCACACTAACGGCTCCAGCCCTGTCTCCACCCCAGAATCTCCTCTCTGGTCTCACCAGTGCCACTGCCTCCACAAAGCCTGCTGGGAAACTGCACGTTCAGACTTAAACTCCCTCCTTCACTCATTATGGAGTCTAGGCCAGGACATCTCACGTGGCAAGCTGTGTCCTGGCCTCCAAGCCTCCACGGGCCGAGGAGCCCCGGGCAGAAGCCCTGCCTTGGCTGCATTCGCATCCAGCCCGGCGGGTCCTCGTGCCTGCGCTCAGCAGCCCAGAGACGACAGTGTCCCCGTGCCGCCAGCTTCCCTGTCCTGCCTCCCGCTTCTGCTCACCCTTCCCTTCCCATCCTCACCAGCCCCGATGGTGAACTCAAGCCCTGCCTCCCCCAAGAAACCTCCTCACATGGCCCTGGCTCAAACACCCCATAGGCCCAAGCACTGCCACGAGGCAGCGCGTGACCCTGAATCTCAGTGCCCCTTCACTGGGGCCTATCCTTGTCAGGGGGGCTATGACCTGGGCTTCCAAGGCAGGAATCTGCGTCCTGGTCTCACCGTACTCTGCTCTCCTGGCAACTGGTGTGGGGAATTAAACGAAGCCATCACAGAGAGAGCCTGCCTCAAGAAAAGGACTTAATGTGACAGTCTGGACTGTTTAAAATGAATAAGGAGAGCCGGGCATGGTGGCTCACACCTGTAATCCCAGCACCGTGGGAGGCTGAGGCAGGAGGCTCGCTTGAGGCCTGGGGTTCGAGACTGGCCTAGGCAACACAGCGAGAGCTCATCTCTACAAAAACAAAATCACGATGGTCCTGTCCACAACCTCTCCAAGCCACCCAACTACCAGTGCCCAGCCAGCCCCCTCTCCTTAGAAATGCCAACAGTCTCCTCACAGAAACGGAATTCAAACTCTTTCATCCCCTGGCATGTTCTCTCTACCACTTGGCTTGACTCTGCCTGAAGGCTGTTGACCGCCTTGGACACAGGACAGATGCCCGGCAGTGCCCGGAGGCCTCCTTTTGTCACCCTGGCCCAAGCCTCCCCAGAGGCCCGCCCTCCAACCCAGAAACCACTTGAGCAGCCCAGGCGCCTGAGATGGGATTCAGACCCACTCGCCCAGGGCTGCACAGGGGCCGCGCTTACCAGTGTGCTTCCGGCTGTGCATCTGCAAGTGGGACAGCTTAAAATATCTCTTATTGCAACCTGGGTACGCACACATGAAGGGGCGCTTCTCACTGGTCTCAGATGCCGACCGGACAAGAGTCGGGGCCACCCCGGGCACACGCCGCACATCCTGCAGGCAGAGTGTGAGAGGAACAGGGGCCTTGAGCCTCGTGTGAGCACCTGTGCCTGTCCTGAGGGGACACGAGCACGGGAGCACACCCCAAGACAGGATGGCAGGCACAGGCCTGAAAAGCCACTCCCACCCACACCCCAGATGCTCATGGCAGACATCACTAACAGATGCCAGATTGGGACAACCTACAGGGCAGTGCTCTGACATCACCATTTCTGACCCACCAGAGCTGGCCCCTGATGTGAAGGCTGTTTGAGGTCACTGCCTTGATACCTGAGGGAGCTCCCCTCACTCTGGTCTCTCAGCTTCTCCACTTGAAGCACTGAGGCCTGGAAGGCCAAGGTCCCTGATCCTAACTGTCTCTCCCCACCCAGCAACACGGCCACATGACCTTGGGCCCAGTCTGCAATGACTGGTCGAAAATCGAGGAATCAAAACCTTAGCCAGGTGCGGTGGTGCTCGCCTGTAGTCGCAGCTACTTGAGAGTCTGAGGAGGGAGGATCACCTGAGCCCAGGAGGTCGAGGCTGTGTTTAGCCATGAGTGTGCCACTGCACTCTAGCCCAGGCAACAGAGTGAGACCCAGCTCAAACACACACACACACTCAGAAAAATGTGGGAAAGTGAATGAATCCCAAACCAGCCAGACCTCCCATGTGTATATAAAGGAAGAGGAGGAAGCTGTGTCTGGATGTGGCAGCCAAGGGGGCCAAACCACCCAAATCATGGTGCAGCCGGCACAGCCTTGAACAGCGACGCCAGAAGCCCCAGGCCTCCGTCTGCCTTCCGTGCACTGCCCCGTCCCTGGCCGAGATGTGCAGACCCAATTTGCAGAAGGTCCGAGGACACTCAAGAGGCGAGTCCCTTTCTCCTCCTGGGGCCACGAGCCGGGCAGGAGCCATGACAACGCCCAGGTGCTCCCCAGGCATTTAAAGACATGCGAACCCAGACCAAAGGGGCATGTGGCTGGCACGGGGCACATCTGTGCTTGGTACCAACACCCAGAGCCACTTCTGGGCGTCACCCATCCCTGCCTGGCATGTTCCCCACCCCACACTCAGACTGTCATCCCTGTTACTTACTGCCTTGTGCTGCAAGGTCACCTTCGTTGGGAAGGAAAAAATGCTCTAGTGACATACATACAACATTGGTGTGGAGAGGTCACCGTGTCTCAGGGCAGATGGGGGTACGAAATTAGATGGTGAGCCCACCACAGGACTGGCATGCTCAACACCTGTCCAGCTGACATTTATGGAAGGCTGTGACAGTGACTCTGACACGCTGCCCGGTGGGAGGACAGTGAAGGATGCGTTTTCAGCTCCCATATTTCATCGTAGACACGGCGCACACAGGAACAGGATCTAAAACTGGATGGCTGGCATCTGTCAGGCCTGCAGAAGGACGCTGATGTGTGGTTGGGGAGAGGCCTAGTGACTCGCGCTTTGTGCCTCTAACCCTTGCCTTTATGTCTCGTCCCTGGGGGGCTGGGAAGGACAGGCACACCGTCTATCCTCATGACACTTTTGGAAACGTGTATGTGGACATCTCAGCTTGCCCTGTGCACCATGCCGGGCCCGGGCCCACACGCAACCTGTTTCTAGGGCGCTGACTATCCTGGTGACAGTATCATTGCTGTGACTTACGTGGCAGCCACTGAGTCAAGTTTATAAGCCACCGATGCAAACCCTTGGTCTGACTGCCCAAGGGGCCCTGCAAGAGGCTGACCAGATTCTCCAAGACATCTCCCTTTCTCCTTGTTCCCTCACACTCCTTGGAGATTTCCCTTCCCCACACTGCCCACTGACCTCTGTCTCCCTAAGCAGCAGCATAACGTGGGGGTTAAAAACAAGGGCTCTGGGCCAAGTGCAGTGGCTCATGTCTGCCATCCCAGCATGATGGGAGGCCGAGGCAGGAGGACTGCCTGAGCCCAAGGGTTTGAGACCAACCTGGGTAACTTGGTAAGACCTTGTCTCTACAATTAATCGAGAAAAATATCTGGGCATGGTGTCACATGCCCGTAGTTCTAGCTACTTGGAAGGCTGAGGCAGAAGGATCGCCTGAGCCCAAGGAGGTTGAGTGTATGGTAGCCATGAGCGTGCCCCTGCACTCCAACCTGGGCGAGAGTGAGACTCTGACTTAAAAACAACAAACAAAACACATGGACACAGGAGCTCTGGAGTCAGATGGGACTGTGTTGTAAGTCTCAGCTCCACCGTCACGAGCCATATGACTTTGGCAATGTTCCTCATCTCTGGGCCTCGGTGTCCCCATCCCTAAAGCGGACACAAGGACAGCACCTACCTCGCAAGAATGTACGAGACGAAAGGCAGGGGGAGGCCCCGTACAGCATAGAGGAACCCCGGATGCATATTGCTAAGCCAGAGACATGGTCAGAAAGGTTGCCCCTGCTAGAATCCCAGCCACATGGCGTTCTGAGGAAAGATCCATGGTTGCTCTGGGGAGCACAAGGACGGGCAGGTGGCATGCGCAGCATTTTCAGGGCAGTGAGACTCTTGCGGGCGATGCCCTAGTAATGAACACCAGGCCTTATGCGTTTTCCAAAATCTGCAGGCCTGTGTGCAGAAAGGGAGCCCCAGTGTGGACTCTGGACTGTCGTTAACCGTAACGTAGGCTGGATGCGGTGGCTCAGCCAGTCATCCCAGCACTTTGGGAAACCGAGGCAAGAGGATGGCCTGAGCCCAGGAGTTCGAGACCAGCCTGGGCAACTTGGTGAGACCTCATCTCTACGATAAATCACAAAAACTAGCTGGGCTTGGTGTTGCATGCCTGTGGTTCCAGCTACTTGGAAAGCTGAGGCGGAAGGATCGCCGGAGCCCAACAGGTCAACGCTGGGAGACCGTGAGCATGCCCCTGCACTCCAGCCGGGATGACAGAGCGAGACTCTAACTCGAAAAAGAAACCAATAACACACCGATATCACTATCAATGGCAACATACACACCACACCAACACAAGAGCTGGGCAAGGGCGGCGGGGAAGGGGAAGGCCTGGGACCCCCTGTGCCTTCTGTGCGGTTTTTCTGTAAACCTAAAACTTCTGTAAGAACAGAAGGCCATTTTTGTTTAAGTCTATGTAAAAGCTTAGCACAATGCCAGGCATACAGAAAGCCAGGCATTGGCAGCGCAATTAATGCTGTGACTGTTATTAGCATCAACTCTTGGCAAGATGGTGGCCACCATGGGGCACTCAGCGATGCAGACCAAATCTTAGAAGTCAAGGGCGGGGGAGGGGGCCATTCGAGCCCAATCAGCCCAAATACAGGAGCTGTGTGACCCACGAGGAAGAGGAGTGGGCACTCAAGGAGGGCGGGATTCTGCAGGAAGTATCTTGGCCTGAGCAGGCAAGGGGCGGCGTCTCTGGGGAGAAGGAAGCTGCCCTGCCTGGCCCCTGGAGGAGGAGGGGTCCCTGTGATCAAGAAAGTCTCTCCAGGGCCACGGAGTCACCAGCCAGGAGGTGAAGATGCTGAGCGGGACAGAAGGCGGGCCTGGGTACCCACCTGGATGCCCCTGAAGACGCCATGGGTGTGTATCCTGTACTGAGCGCCGCAGAGGATAGGCGTCGTGTGGTTGTCGCTCTCGTAGCCCGCGCCGTGGCTGCAAACACAGAAAGGACAAGGCTCAGGGGCTCCCAGGCGCCCTTTGGAAACGCTCGCCTGGAGTCGGGAGGGAGCGGTTTGGTTAAAGCTTGAGGACAAGGGCTGGCGTCTGCCTCCCTCCGTGGGGCTGCTTTTGCGAAGGCCAGGCCCCTGTGTCCACGGGTCTCCCCATCTCTTGGTCCCGGCACCTAGCCCGTGCCTTGTCTGGGTCTAGGCCTCGCTCAGACACACCTGAAAAGCCCCAGCCGCAGGATGCCAGGCCCACAAAGTGTTTCCCATCCACACAGCAGAGCTGACAGCTGTAAGCATCTCAAGAATGAGCAGAATACCTCAGCTTCCACAGAAGTGCCGTGGACCACTGTCAGCACCTCATGACTCAGTTTTTACCAAACAGCACCCCACAAAGTGATGCCACTTACTAGAAGCGATGCCATGTCCTCAGAAGTACATCTGTGGCCCCACTCTGCTTAACCTACAGCTGTTTTCTAGATCAACTGAGATTTATCTTGGGGGAACAAAGTCTCTATGTCACCCAGGCTGGAGTGCAGTGACACAATCATAGTTCACCGCAGCCTTAAACTTCTGGGCTCAATTGATCCTTCTGCCTCTAACTCCCATAGCGAGGACTACAGATGCTCACCACATCTGGCTAAGTTTCTTCTTTTTTTTGTACAGATGGGGGTCTCGCTATGTTGCCCAGTCCATTCTCAAACTCCTGCGATCCTCCTGCCTTGGTCTCCCAAGTAGTTAAGTCTATAGGTGTGCACCACCACAGCCAACTAAGTTATTTTTTTTGTAATTTTTGTAGAGATGGGGTCTTGCTATGTTGCCCATTCCAGTCTCAAACTCCTGGGCTCAAGCAATCTTCCCACCTCAGCCTCCCAAAGTGCTGGAATTACAAGCGTGAGTCACCGCATTCAGCCCATGTGAAGTCTTTGTTGCCAGCCTGTGCCGTGGGCGAGCACTGGAAGATCTTTTCCTAGCATCAGACTGACTAATTCCCAGTCTGTGCTCAGGTTAATCTGGGACAATCTCAGAGCTGGAAGATGAGGACTGTTGAGAAGGGCTTGGCAGGGGAGTGTGCGTCCCTGGACACCTTCCCTCCTGCAAGGACGAGCATGGTGTCTGTCTCGCAGGGGCTTGACTCCCAGGGGAGGAGAGAGAGGCTTCTCACCACCGGCAGCACACGGGAACCATATAGAGAATCGTCCCGGGCAACTTTGAGGAAACACCCTGTCAAATGGTGCAGCTGCTTTGGAAAAGATCGGGCAGTTCCTCAAAAGGTTGGACATCAAGCTACCGCAGGACCTGACAACCCTGCCCCTGGGTCTACTCCCAAGGGAAGCAACAAGCGACGTCCCCCCCAAAACGTGCACACTTTGTTTACAGCAGCGTCACGCCTGAGCACCGAAAAGCGGAACCAGCCCAACGTCCGCCAGCTGATGAAGAGACACACAGAATGCAGTGGTCCCTACAATGGAATATGACTTGGCAATGAAAAGGAAGGCAATACTGACACAGGCTGCCACGTGGGAGGGCCCAGGGAACAAGGTGCTCGGCGAGAGAAGCCAGTCCCAGAGGCTCACGGAGAGCACAACTCCATTCACACCCAACGCCCAGGAGTAATCCACAGAGGCAGGAAGCAGGCTAGTGAGTGGTCAGCTGCCTAGGCCTGTGGGAACGGGGGTCTGGAGGCTGACGGCTGAACATGTCCTGAAGTCGTGACAAGGGTCATACAACCCTGAATATACTAAAGACTGTCGCCTGGTCTACTCTTCACGGGTGAACCATGTGGTCTGTGAAATCTAGAAAGCTTTTAAAAAATTACCTCGGAAGGGAGAATTCCTGAGGTTTTTCAAAGGCTCCAGGTGACAGTCCCTGGCTGTCGGGGCTGAGAACTCCATTCTTTGCCCCCGTTGCTCTAGCGGCTGGGTCCAGAGGCCCAGGGCAGGGAGGCAGGTAAGGTGACAGCTCAGCCGACTGTCTGACGGGTTTGAGAAGCCTGCGCTGACTCAAGGTTCACGCACCCAGAGGAGGGAGTTCCTGAAAGGGGGGGTGTCTGCCAGGACACCGAGATGGCCACACCCCTCCCCCTCGGTCCCAGAAGCTCTGGGATTTCACGTTGAGGGCTGGCTCCAAGTACCTCAGAAGAAGTGCCTGTCTGCTGTGCATAGTTCAGGGAGATGCGTGGTAGCTTTGCTTGTCTCAGCATCCTGCAAGTGATTTCTGACACATCTCGCAGGGAAATGTCTCAAAAAGTGAACCCAAGGTCAAACTTGCAAAAATTGGGGAGAAACACCAAGCCCCGAGGACATCTGCCTTTTTTACTCTTAGAATGTGTTTGCCAGGGCTGGGCATGGTGGCTTATGCCTTGAAAGGCCGAGGTAGGAGGATCATTTAAGCCCAAGGCTCTGAGACTAGCTTTGGCAACCATGTCTCTACCAAAAAAAATGCTTTTAATTAGCCAGGTGTGGTGATGGTGCCCATAGTCCTAGCTATTCAGGAGGGTGAGGTGGGAGGATCACTTGACTCCAAGAGTTTGAGGCTACAGTGAGCTATGACTGTATCACTGCACTCCAGCCTGGGCAACAGAGCAAGATCCCATCTCTACAAAGGAAAAGAAAATGTGTTTGCAGGAAAAATAAGCCAAGTCTGCTTGCCTTGCAATTCTGTTGTACAGGCGGTGGAGACCCGCGAGGGACGACAAAGGCCACGTGGTGGCAGAAAGAGGACAGGACCGGAAAGGTGCTGCCAACATTCTGACCCAGAGGCTGCATTTGCGCGGCCGGGCCTCCTCTGTGGAACCAGAACGTAACTCCCACATTTTCCAGGGCTGAGGGATTTCTAGGGACACGACGTCCTAGTTCTGCCAGCAAAGGCTAAGAGCGGGAATCTGTCTTGACAGTTAAGCTCTGGGAGTCCTCTGGGTCCCTGGAGGGTGGAGGCGTGGGAAGCAGACGTTTCTCAAGGGACTTGTCTCGTAAAGGGACCAGCCTCGGTCCTCACGGCAAGATGCAAGCCAACAAGCAAAAGCAGCAACAAGCAGGAAGCCTGAGTCTGCCAGTGTGCCCTTTGATTCTCCTTCCAGGTCCGTGAGTAAGAAGACCAGCGGGCTGCAGCCTCCTGGGACTTGTGTCCCCACGAGACATGCCAGTGTGGTTGCACACGGGGGCAGCCTTGCAAGTCCACACTCTTGCCAACGTGCTCTCCCCAGGACACCAGGCATAAGGCAAGCACGTGCAACGAACTAACAGCTCAGTGAAGGAAAGCGAGTCACTGACCTTGGAAGCACGGGCACATAGAGAGAGAGGCCTAGAAAGGCCATCGAACGCAGTCCCCAGCCAGAGCCGAATCTCCTCCGGCTCATGCTGGACGAACAGTTGGACAACATGACCGGTGACAGGTTTCCGGGGGAGCCCAACCCACCGGGGCACAGCTCAAGCTGTCAGAAGGGCCTTTCCAAACCCAGCTGAGCGCTGCCTCCTCACTCCTGCCTTCTGGAGGCCCGCTGGGCGAGGGTTACTATTTGACAGCCATCCGTGTGTGTCCCCTGCTTCGTGGTACACGTGGCCTTAAGTACAGAGGCTCCTGTTCTGTCTGTATGGCTAACCCCTGATGGAAGTTGGGTACGGAGCCCATCAACATCCCCGAGAGGGACTGAGTCTAGCCCCTCTCCCACGTGACAGCCCTGCCAGCAAGTGACGACTGTTCTTCAGGGCACAGAGCTGAGACCCTCTCGACTGATGACCCTCTCCTGACCCCTTTCATCTGGCAAGTCCTTCTAAAGGTGTCGACCTATTGGCTGAGCGGGGTGGCTCAGCACCTCTACTGCCAGCACTCTGGGAGGTCAAGGCAGGAGGATTGCTTGAGGCCAGCACTTCGAGACCAGCCTGGGCAACATGTCAATACCTCGTCTCTACAAAAGTAAAAGACAATTAGTCAGGTGTGGTGGCATGTGCCTGTAATCCCGGTTGCTTGAGAGGCTGAGGAGGGAGGATCGTCTGAGCCCAGGAGGTGAAGGCTGCAGTGAGCCATGATCGTGACACTGCACTCCAGCCTGGGCTATGGAGTGAGACTCTGATACCAAAAAAAATGTATCAACTCATGATGAATCCCAAAGCTCCAGAAGCAGAAATGAGTTTCCACTTGGGAGAGGAAGACCCATCCACAAACACCAAAGCCCTTAGAATCAGAAAAATGACACACGTGTTAAGACCGAAGGAAATACCCCTCACCCTCAGGAGTCCATCTCAAATGTTTTCAGATCTGTATGCTGGTCAAACACCAAGCAGGACATTGCCAGTGCCCTGTCCCTGGGCAGAGGGTTTGGGGCCCCTGCTCTGTGTGGACAGAGGATACTGTTCACTCACCTAAGAGCAAGTGACTCTCAGCACTCAGGTCACAGCGACCTTCCTCAGTCAAATAAAATTCAACTAAAACCCCACCCCTACCCGCTGGCATGAACTAAAGCCGTCATCTCCAACCCTGGGTTTGAAGAAACAGGCATTGGGGCTGGGCGCAGGGGATCACTTCTGTAATCCAGGCACTTTGGGAGGCGGGAGGATTGCTTGAGCCCTGGAGTTCAAGACCAGCCCAGGCAACATAGCGAGCCCTCATCTCTACAATAAAAAATCAAAAATTTAGCCGGGCATGGTGGTACTTGCCTGTGGTCCCAGCTACTTGGGAGGCTGAGGTGGGAGGATCACCTGAGCCCAGGAAGTAGAGGCTGCAGTGAGCCATGATCATCCCACTGGACTCCAGCCTGGGTGACAGATGGAGACTCTAACTCAAAAAAAAAGTATATTTTTCTTTCTAATTTTACTTATCTACTTATTTTTAGACATGGGGAATCACTATGTGGTCTAGGCTGGTCTCAAACCCCTGGGCTCAAGTGATCCTTCTGTCTCAACCTCCCAAGTAGCTGGGACAACAGGTATGCACCCCCATACCTGGCTTACGATTGTTTTAAACTAGAATTCATTTATCCTTCTAATCCCA